ATCATTCCCAGGTCCTTCACATTACTTTTCTGCTCTGTTGTATGGTTAGAATTTGTGGTATACCCTTACGCATTTTTAATTTCTTCAAGTTTTCCATATCTGAGTAGTTGAAATTTCTCCTCGTTGAACTTCAAATTGTTTTGAGTGGCCCATTTGAAGATTTGGTTGGTGTCCGCTTGGAGTCTCTCAGTGTCTTCGATGGAGGTCACTGCCATGGTGATCCGGGTGTCATCTGCAAAGGAAGACACGGAGCTATAGCTTACCTCTCTGTCTATGTCAGAAAAGAGGATGAGGAATAGAATGGGAGCGAGTACTGTGCCTTGTGGAACAGCTTTTTACCATGGTTGCCTGGGACTTTACTCTGTTTACTATTACTCTGTGTGTTCTGCGTTTATCAGGAAGTTGTAGATCCATCTACCAACTTTTCCCATTATTCCTTTATTCCGCATTTTGTGTGCTATTACACCATGGTCACACTTGTCGAAAGCTTTTGCAAAGTCTGTGTATACTACATCTGTATTTTGTTTATCCTCTACAGCATCCAGGACCTTGTCATTGTGGTCCAGTAGCTGGGACAGGCAGGAGCGACCTGCTCTAAACCCGTGTTGTCCTGGGTTGTGTAACTGATGGGTATCTAGGTGGTTAGCTATTTTGCTTCTTAGAACCCTCTCAAAGATTTTTTATATGGGCTGTTAGTGCTATCGGTTCATAGTTCTTTGCAATTGCTTTACTGCCACCTTTGTGGAGTTGGGCTTTGTCTGTTATTTTTAGTGTGTGTGGGATGACCCCTGTGTCCATGCTCCCTCTCCATAAAATGCTGAAGGCACGCAATAGGGACTCCTTGCAGTTCTTGATGAACATGGAGTTCCACGAGTCTGGGACTGGGATAAAGTGCATTGGCATGTCATTAATTGCCTCTTCAAAAATCTTGTGGAGTTATAATAATATCTGAGAGTTTTGGGATGACCAAATTTTGGGTTTCGTTCATAAAGAATTCATTTCAGTGGATCACTGAACACCGAGTCATATTGGGACTTTAGTATCTCACTCATTTCTTGGCTGTCATCTGTGTATGTCCCATCCAGCCTAAGCAGGGGCACAATGCTAGATGTTGTTTTTTCCTTAGATTTGGCATAAGAGAAGAAGTATTTTTTTTTTTTTCAATTTCCTTTATGGCTTTTAGTTCTTCCTGTGATTCTTGTCTCCTATAAGATTCCTTCAGCTTAAGTTTGATATTTGCAATTTCATTGACTAGTGCTTCCCTTTGTATTTCAGATATATTGACCCCACTCAGCAGCTCTGTGACTCTTCGCCTTCGTCTGTATAGGGAATGTCTCTCTCTAGTTCACATCTTCTCTTTCTTTTTCTTAATGGAATGTGTCTTGAGCAGATCTCAAAAACCACAGAATTAATTTTTTCAAGGCAGATGTTCGGGTCCATGTTGTTTAGGATATCTTCCCAGCTTGTTTCATTTAGGACATGGTTTACTTGGTCCCATTGTATGTTTTTGTTATTGAAATTGAATTTCGTGAAGAGACCTTCATGACTGCTCACATTTTGCTGGTCTTTGATACAGTTATGTTACGTATCAGATCATCATTGTTAGTGAAGATGAGGTCCAGCGTATTTTCTAGTCTTGTAGGCTCTACTATTTGCTGGTTTGAGGTGAATTTGTTGCAGAGATTTAGTAGTTCGTGTGTGTGTGAATTTTCATCTGAGCTGCCTCCCGGGGTGATCTCTGCTAAAGCATTGTTTGTTATACTTCTCCATTTTAGGTGTCTCAGGTTGAAATCTTCTGGTAGAAAGATGCTTGGGGCAGGAGTAGGGAGATTTTCCAGACAGTGGTCAATTTTCTCAAGCTGCTCCTGGAATTGCTGGGAAGTTGCATCTGGAGGCTTGTATACTACCACAATGACGAGGTTTTGGTTTTCGATCTTTACCGCCAAAACTTCAACTACGCCATTTGAGGTGTCATTTCCTCATACAGGTGTATCTCGTTTGGGCAGACCCAAAAACATCTCTCTGAGTTTGTCAAGTGTGGTCACTAGTTCAAAATCCCTGCATATACTATGGGACCACTGACCACACAGATGGCAAGCAATCCAGGCCTGTCTTCGTTCCTTACCCTTTCTGTAGACTACACAGACTACATTCAACCAAATACTTAGCTATTTTGCTAGTATGTCTTTCTTTCAACTGAGTTGAAAAAACTGCCCACTCAACTATTTCAGCTATCCTGTAAAGTCTACAGAAGTCAGTAATTTAGCCAATGTTACACTTAGATTAAAAAAAATACCAGTTTAAAAATAGTTCAGAGTAAACAATGTAGATATTCTTGGCACTAAAACAACATTTCCTTTGTTCATTAATCATGTCCCCAAGCCTCTCCTATATTACACTTGCCTTCCATTTTGCATTCCTAATCACACAAAAATAGAAGATTCACTCTGTTTTCTTGGATAATAAAATACTATAACCAGGAATGATTGGTCATGGTTAATGGTGTCCCAATAATTAAATCAGGCTTAAGAAAATCTCATAAAATAGATTGGGGGTGTAAGGGGGCCTTACTCATCTTGAGGAAAATAGAGAGAAAATGAAATATTTCCGCTACTTTGAGCAGAGTTTCACGCTATTTCTGCTACTATAACCAACCAAAATCATCTCTGTTTAGGTATTGTGTGTCAAGTTGTATCAAATGATACCAAGAAACTACCAATAAAATCATAGGAACCATCTGAGAAAATATCTCAATTTGCTGTTTTAAACCATTCACACAGAGTTTTGCTTTTCCCATCATGCACTGCAGGAGGCAGAATTACTTTTATACTGTGTACACTCACCACACAGACCTATTCTCTCATATCTAGGCCAAAATTTACCATTCACAGCTTATCTGAAATGAACTCATGATGTCAAGCAATATGAGGGGACCCTGGCTTCATTGACATACTTTGCAAAGGCTGAGGATGCTGCAGTGCAACTTCCTCAGCCTTCTGTTATTTCATATCTACATCAGTGACTTACATAATGCCTCCCAGGAACTTGAGTCAGTTTTGTTTGCAGACGACACCATGTATGTCATCTCAAATCCAGATCAGGCTGTCTTCAACAGCACTATTAATGATTAGATTATATGAGGTGGTAATACTGTAGACAGAAGTGGAGAGGCATCTTTAAATCATCAGTTATGCCTTCTTGGATGAGATTGACCATCTCTCAAGGCTGGGGTACTGACTACCTATAACCTATCTCTACTTCTAATGCCTCCAATACCCCCTCTATTTGACTGATGAGGTCTGCTGTGCAGACAAAATGTATTAGCAATAAGGATAGCTAGTATTACACATGTCTTACTCATCAACTTGTCAGTATTGTATTCCATTTATAATATAATTAATGTTTCCTGTCTAATATTTAGCATGGTACAGTGGGACCTTGGTACTCGAACAGTTTGGTATTCGAATGCTTTGTTTGGTAAACAAATTGCTCAGTAGGCGACCGTTTGCTCGGCACTCAACCAAACAAACACAACTTGCCAGAACTTTGCTGTAAACTATTACGTGTTTCTTCACATTTTTTGGTGTTTTTTATATTATTTGTATAAATAGGTCACCATGGGGCCTAAAAGGGTTAGTGGTAACAGCCAACCAAAAAGAATATTGGTTTGGAAAAATTTGTTCTGTACTCGAACAGATCGGCACTTGAACAACCTTCAGGAACCAATTAAGTTTACAGTGCCAAGGTTCCACTGTATTAAATTTATGTTTATTAAGATTTTAGCATCTTATGTTCATAAAACACTGCTATTGTTCATTCTTTACTATTAGCATATAGGCTATTTATATGTAATTCTATATCTCATGAGTGTCTTGCTAAGATTTAACCCTTTGACGGTCGCAGGCCCCTTTCTGAAACTGTCATTCTATGTTGCAAAATTTTTGAAAAAAAAAAAATTATTTTTCTTATGAAATGATAGAGAATCTTTTCCCGATGGTAATGACACCAAAAGTTCAAAATTTGGTAAAAAACTCATGGAATTACACTACCGCGAAGTTAGCGGTCTCGGTGACATATACGTATCAGCGATTTTGCCGACTTTGAGCCCTGTTTTTAGCCAATTCCGTTGTTCCAGTTGACCAAACTCATAGCTATTTCTTTAGAACTCCATTTTATCTATCAGTTGAGTACAAGAAACCGCCCATTTACCAATTTGAACTATCCAATAAAGTGGTCAGAAATTGGCAATTTGGCCAATTTCATGCAAATCAAAAAAGATGCCACTTTCAAAATAGGGTCCAGAATAAACAAGGTAGACATTCTTGGCACCAAAATAACATATCCTGTGTTCATTAGTCACATCTCTAGGCCCCTTGTATATTACTATTGCTTTCTATTTTGATTTTTTATTCGTACAGAAAATACAAAATTTACTGGTATGCAGACTGCTGCATTATTTTAAAAATGATATAAATAATATCAGTGCACTAGTGAAAGAATATTAGACTCCCCAGTTGACGTGTATTGGATGTGTGGTGTGATTTGCTTACTCCTGAACATTGGTAAAAATCGAACATTTCTGCTATTTTGAGCTCAGTTTCAAGGTCGTTTTCATCGTGAAAGTAATGAAAACCATCTCCATTTCTTTAATGTGCTTTTCATTTTATCACCTAAGACCACGAAAACGAGAATACAACAATAAATACCATACGAAAATACACCTCAAAGTCGGCGTTTTAATCCAAAAAAACGTTTTTTTTTTTTTTCTCATTACGCACCGTGTGCTGCAGGATTTTTTTTTATGTGGTGCACATAAACACGGTCGTAAGTCGAGTGGTCGTAAGTCGAGCAGGTCGTAAGTTGGATGGTAGGTGTATATACGTCAGAAACAGTGGCACGTAAGGCGTATTTATATGGCGTAAACAGTCAAAAGGTTTTAAAGGCAAAATATGACCAGCTTAGATTACAGCCAAAATAATTTTTGACTTTCTTCATTCTAGCTGTTTCAGGGTATCCTCTATTGTCATCAGCGGCGAGTTTTACATAGAGATCTCAAGCCTCAGAACCTTCTTATCAATGAGCAAGGAGTCATCAAAATTGCTGACTTTGGATTGGCTAGAGCTTTTGGCATCCCTATTAGGGTTTACACTCATGAGGTAACTACATGAAACCTGTGGGTTAATGTACTGTACTGTATTTTAATATGATTAATAAATAGATTTTGTTGAAATCACATGTATATTTTATTGACTAGCACTAAGTTTATATAGCTTAATGTGAAAACTAAAGCATTTGAGAAATTTTGCCTACAAAACTACTCAGTGCATACTGATGTGAATCACTCTACTGAATTTTGCATTGTTCATTAGGTTGTTACTTTATGGTACCGAGCACCAGAGGTCCTCCTGGGCTCTTCTCGTTACTCCTGCCCAGTGGATGTCTGGTCTTTGGGTTGCATATTTGCTGAGATGGTGACAAAACGCCCTCTTTTCCATGGAGATTCTGAAATCGACCAGCTTTTCAGAATATTCCGGTATTAACAATTTACAATAATTTGTATTACAGTACTGTATGACAGCTCTGAATATATAACACTGTTAGATAACATGATAGTTCTCTTATGTATTGGTACTATAATTTATTGTCATTTAATGATAGTTATTGTATTTTGATGTCTGTAAGACTTTGGCAGATAAATTCACAGGCCAGTACAGTATTTGTAAGTATAATATGATTACCATTGTTTTCATATTTTTATTGACTTTGAAAGGTCTGGATCTGGATCTGGATCAGGTACTGGTAACAGTTGAATAAAAACTTGCATTTATTTCAGTGGTAAAATTCCTTCTGTATTTCAGGACTCTAACAACTCCTACAGAAGATAACTGGCCAGGTGTGACTCAGCTGCAGGATTACAAGGCCAATTTTCCCAAGTGGACAGATTATAATCTAGCAAATTCAGTTAAACAGATGGATGCTAGTGGCTTAGATTTGTTGTCTGTGAGTATACATTGTGGAATATTTTTGTGATTACGTATTCTTAATCATTTTACCATTTTAGCAAAGAATAGGAGATAAAATAAAATGTATATCTTGAAGATCAAATTTGTGTAAAATGGCAGATTCCATATTAACCCGTAAACGGTCCAAACGTATATACACTGGACCCTCAACCAGCGATATTAATCCGTTCCTGAGAGCTCATCGTTAGTCAAAATAATCGTTAGTCAAGTTAATTTTCCCCATAAGAAATAATGGAAATCAAATTAATCCGTGCAAGACACCCAAAAGTATTGAAAAAAAAATATTTTTACCACATGAAATATTAATTTTAATACACACAAACTGAAGATTACATGCACAGTTACATGACACTTACCTTTATTGAAGATCTGGTGATGATTGATGGGATGGGAGGAGGGGAGAGCGTTATCTTCTTACTGTTTAGAAGGGGAATCCCCTTCCATTAGCACTTGAGGCAGCAAGTCTTTTTCTGGGGTTACTTCCCTTGTTCTTTTAATGCCACTAGGACCAGCTTGAGAGTCACTGGACTTCTGTCGCACAACATATCTGTCCATAGAGGCCTGTACCTCTCGTTCCTTTATGACTTTCCTAAAGTGGTTCACAACATTGTCAGTGTACAGGTTGCCAACACGGCTTGCAGTAGCTGTGTCAGGGTGATTATCATCCATAAAGCTTTGCACTTTAAGCCACATTGCACAGATTTCCTTAATCTAAGAAGTAGGCAACTTCTTCAATTTCTCTCTCCCCTCCTCCGAAGCAGTTTCCTCAGGTCTGCCCTCTTGCTGTTCAAGATGATCTAGCAGTTCATCAGTGGTTAGTTCTTCACTGTCCTCCACCACCAACTCTTCCACATCCTCCCCACTAACCTCCAACCCCAAGGACTTCCCAATGCCACAATGGATTCCTCAACTGGCATAGGATTCTCAGGGTTAGCCTCAAACCCTTCAAAATCCCTTTTGTCTACACATTCTGGCCACAGTTTTTTCCAAGCAGAGTTCAATGTCCTCTTAGTCACTTCCTCCCAAGCCTTACCTATAATGTTTACACAATTGAGGATGGTAAAATGATCTTTCCAAAACTCTCTTAGAGTCAGTTGAGTTTCTGAGGTCACTACAAAGCACCTTTCAAACATAGCTTTTGTGTACAGTTTCTTGAAGTTGGAAATAACCTGCTGGTCCATGGGCTGCAGGAGAGGAGTGGTATTAGGAGGCAAAAACTTCACCTTAATGAAGCTCATGTCCTTGAAAGTCGCTCTGCCACATCTGTAGGATGACCAGGGGCATTGTCTAATACCAGGAGGCACTTAAGGTCTAATTTCTTTTCAATTAGGTAATTTTTCACATCGGGGGCAAATGCATGGTGTAACCAGTCATAGAAAAAGTCCCTAGTGACCCATGCCTTACTGTTTGCCCTCCACAGCACACACAAATTAGCCTTGAGGACATTGTTTTTCCTGAACACTCTGGGGGTTTCAGAGTGATACACCAATAAAGGCTTCACTTTGCAAACACCACTAGCATTGGCACACATCAACAAAGTAAGCCTGTCTTTCATAGGCTTATGTCCTGGGAGTGCCTTTTCCTCCTGAGTAATGTACATCCTGCTTAGCATTTTCTTCCAAAACAGGCCTGTTTCGTCACAATTAAACACTTGTTCAGGTTTCAGTCCTTCACTGTCTATGTACTCCTTGAAGTCCTGCACATATTTTTCAGCCGCTTTGTGGTCCGAACTGGCAGCCTCACCATGCCTTATCACACTATGAATGCCACTACGCTTCTTAAATCTCTCAAACCAACCTTTGCTGGCCTTAGATTCACTCACATCACTAGTTGCTGGCATTTTTTAATTAAATCATCATGCAACTTCCTAGCCTTTTCACATATGATCGCTTGAGAGATGCTGTCTCCTGCTATCTGTTTCTCGTTTATCCACACCAATAACAGTCTCTCAACATCTTCGAGTACTTGCAATCTCAGTTTCGAAAACATAGTTGCACCTTTGGCAAGAACAGCTTCCTTGATTGCCGTTTTCTTGCCCACAGTAGTAGCGATGGTTGATTGGGGTTTATTATACAACCTGACCAGCTCAGAGATACGCACTCCACTTTCATATTTATCAATGATCTCTTTCTTCATCTCCATAGTAATTCTCACCCTTTTTGCTGTAGGGTTGGCACTAGAAGCTTTCTTGGGGCCCATGGTGACTTATTTTGCAGGTGCAATCACTAAAAAGGCTGTGATAATATGAAATGTTCCAGTTGTATGTTTGGAAGCGACCGCGGTGGCTTGCTGGCTTGTAAACACTGGCACCAAAGGGACAAGTGAGGCGCGCTCAGGCCAAAGTGGACGCGTATGGTACGGAACGAAAAGCGCTGGTCGGGTTTTTAAGCGCTAGTCGAGGCAAAATTTTTGCGTTTAAATGAATCGCTAGTCAGATTTATCGTTAATCGATGCAATCGCTGGTTGAGGGTCCACTGTATATATGTTCACTACCCCAGTGCCCTAAATATTTTGAAAAAAAAAAAAAAAAAAAAATAATGAAAATAAAGAGCACATTTTTCTAAGTGTTATAGGATGAAAATAAAAAAAATAGGTTCAGTACTTACTGAGATATGAGGCTGCAAAGTTGGCACTTAAAGCTCACCTGACGGCAACATAGAGTCCTGCCGCTTGCAGTAGTGTTGCCGATATACCATTTGTTCTCGTTTTTATATTATTTTATATAATTTTTGTTCTGATAATTACAATTTATTGTAGTTCTTGTCATTTCATAACCAATCTTTATTCTGGCACTAATATTAGGTACTGAAATTGTACACAAATTGTCACAAACACATTTACAGGTAGACATTTACACCTACCTTGGTCATTTACCATTGTCTAGGAATATATACTAAGTATTTATTGGTCCCAGCAATGTTTTGGATACATGGGAGTATAGAAGAAGAAGGAGGAAGGAGAAGGAGGAGGAAGAAGGAAGAAATTCCCTTGAAGCAATGTGTAAGAAAAGTTTTCAGTGACAGGCATCCATGAGGACAGTGATAAGATCAGATATGAGATGACATTTGATGGACTCCAGCGAGGGTGCAGAGTTAAGGGATGACATTTGATGAGCTCATATCTCTGATTGTCTGTCTCTGTCTTATTTCTCTGTCTGCTTGTCTCTTTCCGTGTCTCTGCTTGTCTGTCTGTCTCAGAGAGAGCCACTGTGAACCAACAGGTATTCTTATGCATTATATCTACAAGCACAGTTTAGCACTTCGGATTTTTTAGGTTATCCTAGGTAATTTACACTATGTATAATTGTATTTTTGTGTACCTGTGAGACAAATAGAGACAGACACAGAGATAGACAGAGACACAGAGATAGACAGATAGACAGACCCTAAACTTGGGGTTAATATCACTTCCCTCTTAAAAGGGGAATGTTAATATGACATTGCATCAGTGAATCCTTGGTGTTTGCCCCACTGTTTGCTCCAGTTGGCGCTCAATATAACTGGCGCTCCCACAAGGTACTAGGTGGTCCCAGATTTTTTTAATATGGTGCACACTGAGTATTAAGACCCATTCTATGCTGACCAGGCATCTCAGGAAAATTGTGCCAAATTTGGAGGCAGGAAAAATAAAACTTATATTTACGTTCGGGGCACTAGCGGTAAGAATGTATATGTACGTTTGGACCATTTACAGGTTAACCCCTTACCAGGAAACAGTGCAAACATAATGACTAGTACTGTAACTATTGCAGTATTATTATAGTCATATGAACTTATCTATGTGAGCCATTTGGTGCTACATTAGCTATTTGTTAGCACATTAAATGCTCTGTTAAGAATTTTTAGAGAAATTTCATCTAGTTAAGATCTTTTTATAAATAATTATTCAAGAGGGAAGGCTTGTTGTCTATTCTAAAACATTATTAACAATACATTATGAAGAGCAGATACATTTCTACTTAAAGGGTGATACATTACATAAGCTTACTAATAACCAAAACATTTGGCAAATTCAAAGTCTTTGCTGTAATGTGAAGGTGGTTATCAACATACAAACACCAAGTTAAACACATCTTTACTTAACAAATAACGTAGAATAATCTACTGTGAGAAGCTTTTTTTTTTTTTTTCACACTTGCCCCATCAATCTGCATAATTTTTGCAGCCTGTTATATTTCTGTAAGTGACTACAAGTTTTGTCCCTCAAAAATCAAAATTTTAACTCAATTTGACTTTCCCAAGGTTTAACTAATCAGTGATAATCATATCCAGCATTTTAAGAACTACATTTATTGGGAAGCAGAGCTATAATTTAAATTGTTATCCTTATAAACTAGCACAATATTGACTATATTTCATTTCCAATTGTACTTTCTTGGAGTGATATTTCACATGTAATCTTAAATAAGTAGCTAAAATTTTCTTCACTTTCAAAATAATTTCTTCTACATATTGTACAATACAAAGTTAAGAGTTGTCACAGTTGCTCTTTAAAGATAACAGTACTTTTGGGAGACTAAAGAGAAGTTGCAAAGGTTGATGGAGGAATTTGGCAGGTGTGTAAAAGAAGAAAATTAAAACTGAACATAGAGAAGATGAAGGTGATGAGTAACAAAAAAGCCTAGGAAAAGAAAGATTGGATATCAGATTGGAGGAAGTGAGTATTGTTCAGGTTCAGTGGAACCTCGGTTTTTGTGATTAATCCGTTTGAAAAAGTCTGACGATAGACTGAATCGTACTAAAATCGAAGCAATATTTCCCATAAGAAATAATGTATATGCAATTAATTCGTTCCAGACACCCAAAAATATTAACGAAAAATATATTTTATAGAGAATAACTGTACTTTTACATACAAACTAGGGCATATGAAAACCGAGGTTCCACTATTTGGGAGTTGGTGTATTGGCAGATGAGTCTGAGAAAAAGGTAAACCATAAAATAAATGAGGGAAAAAAGAGGTAGTGTTTAGGCTTCTTTGGAAAGGAGTATATCTGTGGAGGCAAAAAGGGTGGTACCAGCACTGTAGGTGTGAGACAATCTGGTAGCAAGGATGATGCAGGAGGCACTGGATTTTTATTTTAAGCAATGTGTAGTATGAATGTGCAGCAGAAGATTAAAAGTATAGAAGTTAGAAGGACTGTGGGAGGGATTTTGAGAGGTGTAATTCAGAAGGTGGCAGAAGAGGATGCTGAGGTTATTTGCTCAGTTAGAAAGGATTGAACTGAATAGGATGACAAAATGTTAAATAAATTTGTGGTTGGAAGGAGGTGGGGGCATAGTAGTAGTCCAGGAAGGGTTGGAGGAAGGAGGCGAATGGGTAATTAAGTTTTGGCACTGTGCTTATGCTTGCTAAAGGCAGGGCAGTCTGTATTTCTTTTCACACGTTTTTATTTTATAATACACGTGTGTGATAACTGTTTTCCAAACTTCAGTAGCATGTAGAATTCTTTGACATACTTCAAGTGTTTCTTTTTCTTTTTAAAATGGGAAATGCCTGTGTAAGATACTTGTGGCCATCCACAGCAGGGCAGTTCCAAGAGGTAGTAAATCATCAAGGATTTAGAAGGATTATTGGTTTTGAGGAAAAGATTTTCACTTGTTACATTTTTTGTGTACATTACAGAAAACCTTGATATATGACCCAACACAAAGGATCTCTGCAAAAGAAGCCTTGAAGCACCCATACTTTGACGACCTTGACAAGTCTGCTCTTCCTGCTAAAAACTGAGTCAATGGGTGACTGGTGACTGCTCAGTAAATCAACAGCTTTCGAGTTGGTACTTCTTGGTCTTTACATATGCTTATTTCTTATGTGAATATATATTTCTAATAGGTGCAGTGTGTCTTTAGTTTATTTCCGTTAGATAAATTTAAAGATTAAAGGACTTGTATATATGTCTGTGTGTAATGAAGATGGGAAGTTCACAACTATCCCACAAGTTGGAGAGGACACTTTAGAAGTTGTTTGTCTGTTATGGACCATTATCATGTAGCAAGTGATAGTGGCCAAGGGTGGACTGAAACAACGCACAACGTGGAGTTTTCTCTCAGTTGTGTGTTAGTTATGAACTGTTGGAACCGTGGTATTGTGACACTCTTCTAAGTTTGGATCTGCTTATTTTTTAATAAAAACTTTAATGTATGACTGTAGCTAGGACTTGATAAACTTCTTTGGTTATTAAACCTTCCGGTCTAGCAAATTTTGGGATGTTGCTCCTTGCAGGTCAATTTTAATGTTAATTACAATGTCATATTGTAATATGTTTTCACCTTAATTGCAGCGTAACTTTTTCAATTTCAAAGTTAACATTACTGTGTTTACATGCTGTAATTTCTTCCTTTTAATTGATACATTTAAAGCAGGATTCAGGAATGAATATTTCTTTGGGTAGTACCAACTTTAAGTAAAAGTTGCAGCTATTGTAAAACCATAATCTTCATTGCATATCTATCTTTCTTAATAGTAACTTTTGTAACCAATTATAAATTATAAATTTGTGAAAGTGAATTGAATTTCTTTCAGTATTATATATCCTTTTGAAGAAGTTAACCCTTAATGTAGGAAATAATAGATAATGTTATAGAAATATTACATTTCTGAACATTTAATTTACACCCTTATCATGGTGTATATAATAAGGCTCAATGACTTTAATCTTCAATCATTTACAAATTATTCATTGTATGACAATCCCATGATCACTTTAGGGTCATTTATTTACTTTTAAACATTTTATGCCCTAATATTGCTTGAGGATTACTGCATATTCCTGAATGAATGAATAAATAAAATTAACCAATTTTGTTAATTGATCTTTTTTTTTTTTTTTCAACAAGTCGGCCGTCACCCACCGAGGCAGGGTGACCCAAAAAAGAAAGAAAATCCCCAAAAAGAAAATACTTTCATCATCATTCAACACTTTCACCACACTCACACATTATCACTGTTTTTGCAGAGGTGCTCAGAATACAACAGTTTAGAAATATATAAGTATAAAGATACACAACATATCCCTCCAAACTGCCAATATCCCAAACCCCTCCTTTAAAGTGCAGGCATTGTACTTCCCATTTCCAGGACTCAAGTGTTAGCAAAAGTGTTTTTTTTTTTTTATACACCAGCCATTCTTTTGGGTCACCAGGTAGGGTGACCCAGAAGAAGAAACTCATCATTGGCTCCATCACTGTCTTGCCAGAGGCGTGCGAATACTACAGTTCAAAACTGCATATATCCCCACCCCTCCTTCAGAGTGCAGGCACTGTACTTCCCACCTCTAGGATTCAGGCCCAGCTAATAGGTTTCCCTGGATCCCTTCATAAATGTTATCTTGTTTTCACTCCAACAGCACATCAAGTCATGAAAACCACTTGCCTCCACTCCTGTCTAACATAATCATACACACTTCTTGTATATCTAACCCCCTTGCACACAAAACTTCTTTTATCCCCTTCCTCCAACTTTTTGTAGGATGACCCCCTACCCAGCCTTCCTTCCACTTCAGATTTATACACTCTCCAAGTTGTCATCTTTTGTTCCATCTTCTCTCAAATACCTGAACCACCTCAACAACCCCTCTTCCAGTCTACGAATTCTCTGCATAATATTCACACCACACTTTGCCCTCAGAGACACCTACATTGCCTCCAGTCTCCTCCTTGCTGCAACATTCACAACCCATGCATCATACCCATAAAAAAGTGCTGGTACTACTATACTCTCATACATTCCCCGTTTTGTCTCTATGGTTAACGTTCTTTGTCTCTACTGATGCATCAGTGCATCACTCGCCTATTTCCTCCTCTTCAAGTTTATGGTTCACCTCTTTCATAAACCCATCTGCTGAGAAGTCCACTCCCAAATATCTGGACTCATTCACTCCCTTCCGATCTGATATCCAATCTTTCCTTACCTAAATTTTTTGTTTCCTACATTATCTTGCTCTTTCTTATCTTCATTTTTATTTTCCTTCTTTTACATACCCTTCCAAATTCATCCACCAACCTTTGCAACTTTTCTTCAGAATCTCCCAAAAGCACAGTGCCATAAGCACTGTGCTTTTGGGAGGAAGAATTCTTTTCCACTTCCCCATGGAGATAAGAAATAAAGAAGAAAAAGAACTATTAAGAAACTAGACGAAAACCCAGGTGGGTGTGTAAATATATGTGCTTGTACGTGCACGTGTAGTGTGACCTATGTGTAAGTAGAAGTAGCAGGAAATACCTGTTATCCCGCTTGTTTATGAGACAGAAAAAAAGACACCAGGAATCTTACCATCATGTAAAACAATTACAGGTTTTCGTTTTACACTCACTTGCTAGGATGGTAGTGCCTCCCTGGGTGGTTACTGTCTGCCAACCTACTACCTAAGGGAAAACTTATTTACCCTTCTGTTAATGTTCATTTATATGCTTCAATGTAAACACTTGGTCTACACATCCCCTACCCTACTTAAAGCCTCCTTGATCATCTGAAAACCTGCTCTCCATCTTAACCTTAATTCTTTCAATAATAACTCTACCATACACTTAGCAGGTATACTCAACAAGCTTATTCCCTTATGATTCTTACTCTCTTTTGTCCCCTTTGCCTAAAGATGTTATACCTCCCTGGCCAATGCTTGAAATCACAGCTTCCCCTCTTTTCATCAACATTTAACCATTCCTCAAAATATTCCCTCCACCTTCTCATCTAATAACGCTCCTCTTGTGTTTTTAACTATCATATCCATTTGTTCTCTAGGCTTTCTCAACTTATTAATCTCACTCCAAAGCTTTCTCTTATTCTCAGCAAAATTTGTTGACAGCACCTCACCCACTCATTTGCCCTTTTTTTTTTTACCTTCCCTTACCACTCTCTTTCTCTCCATAACTCCCTCCTTACATCACTTGCTTTGTAAAAACCTTTCATACGCAAATTTTTTTCTCTTACACTCTCTTTACCTCATCATTCCACTAACTCTCCCACACCCACCATCCTATATCTACAAACTTCTGCTGAACATTAACACTGCATTCTTAAATCTGTCCCATACCACTTCAACCTCATTAACTGTACTCTCACTAGCTCATCTTTCTCCCAGTAGCTGCTGATATCTTATACAAGCATACTTCCCTAATACTGCAGGTTAGGTTCCAGACCATTGCTATAAAGCAAATATCACCTCTAAGTGAAAATCACAGCCTTTTTTTCACTTGCCAGTGAATATAAAAGTATAAAAACATGTTTACACTTTCATTTATTAAGTGCACAATAGTGGTAGTCCTTAAAAAAAAGATGTAAAAGTGATAGTTTTTTAAATTGCTGAAAACTGTTTTAAGAGCAAGGCAAGTGCTGAAAACACGAAGACATTTCAAAAGCACCGTATTAGCAAAGCACTTAAAGCAAGTGCCGTATTAATTGGGCATGTCTGTATTAACATTAAGGCCTGAGTGTCTTTAAGTGCCGGAGTTTCAAGCCATAATAAATGGCTTGCTTTTAAGCATTACTTTCAATATAACTGTTTTATGAAAACCAGACATAGGCATCCTGATAGAAATGTACAGTGGAACCTCAAATATCGAACTTTCTTTGGTCCATGAGGAATAATGTAAATTAGGTTAGTCCATTTCAGACCCTCAAAAATACACTTATAAAAGCACTTACAAAAATACACTTACATAATTGGTTGTGTTGGGAGCAGTTCGATTTTTGAGGTTCCACTGTACTTAGAAAATTTAGGCAAAGGCCAAATCTATATGGCCATGACTGAAACATAAGACTAGTAATCTGGTTTGTAACAAAAGATTATTTTGCTGATAATTTGTTTAACCAGTAAACTGGCAGTCACATAGATCTGCATCAGTGGGATTAGTGTCGTTGCTGTAGATTTATTCATAAATTGTGAGAGAATGGGGTCTGAGCATTTGGTGTGCCCAGTATAAAAACCTGCCCCACAATGCATAATGGGAACAGCAAACTTCTGACCCTGTTAAATTAGAGCCTTTGGGTTATTTTCTAGGGTGATTTTCATGAGTTTATTGGATTCTTTTTAGTGTTAGTAGAGAGACTGTCTAGGTAGTAGGTTGGTAGACAGCAACCGCCCAGGGAGGTACTACCGTCCTGCCAAGTGAGTGTAAAACGAGAGCCTGTAATTGTTTTACACGATCGTAGGATTGCTGGTGTCTTTTGTCTGTCTCATAAATATGCAAGATTACAGGTAAGTCTTGCTACTTCTACTTACACTTAGGTCACACTACACATACATGTACAAGCATATATATACACACCCCTCTGGGTTTTCTAATATTTTCTTTCTAATTCTTGTTCTTGTTTATTTCCTCTTATCTCCATGGGGAAGTGGAACAGAATTCTTCCTCTGTAAGCCATGCGTGTCGTAAGAGGCGACTTAAATGCCGGGAGCAAGGGGCTAGTAACCCCTTCTCCTGTATATATTACTAAATTTAAAAGGAGAAACTTCAGTTTTTTCTTTTGGGCCACCCCACCTCAGTGGGATACGGCTGGTACGTTGAAAGAAAGAAGAAGAAGGATTGCTGGTGTCCTTTTTTCTGTTTCATAAACATGCAAGATTTCAGGTACGTCTTGCTACTTCTACTTACACTTAGGTCACACTGCATATACATGTACAAGCATATATATATATATATACCCCTCTGGGTTTTCTTCTATTTTCTTTCTAGTTCTTGTTCTTGTCTATTTCCTCTTATCTCCATGGAGAAGTGGAACAGAATTCTTCCTCCGTAAGCCATGCGTGTCGTAAGAGGCGACTAAAATGCCGGGAGCAAGGGGCTAGTAACCCCTTCTCCTGTATATATTACTAAATTTAAAAGGCAAAACTTTTATTTTTCCTTTTAGGCCACCCCACCTCAGTGGGATATGGCTGGTGCATTGAAAGAAGAAGAGGTAGACTGTATGACATACTAATGAAATGAACAAGATTGTGTTGGTTTAAGACAGGAAATGGTCTGAAATGGGTGTACGTATAGTGGTTTGTTTTTGGATTATTTTCCTTGGGAAGGATAGGACCCCTCCCTCCCCTATCCCATCCCAGTCTGTTTTATCAGTTTTTACTGTATGTCATTTATTGGGATGGCCTAAACCAGGACCAAGCATTCTTGGTGATAGCTTATTAATTAATGCAAAGAAATAGTTGGATTTTTTTTTTTTTAAGGATTTAAAATTGAAGTCAAATGTTATATGGGAGAGGCCTTAGAAATTGATTAATGATCAATTAGTGGTTGGAATGACTATTATTTTTGACTTGGACTATTGAAATTTGTTGACAATAGTGTGTTTCAAGGCATTTAATAGGGTAGTTCTGATGGTTTAATGGATAGTTCCTTGTGATCACTGTATAGTACAGAATCTTTACTAGCAAAATTGAATGAAATTGGGTTGGTTTAAGCACTAGTATTAAACTAAAATAGGCCTCAAAATGGGCAAAATTGCTGTTCGACCTCCAGCTTCACACTCCGTAATTTCCCAAGTTTATCAGATTTTGCATTTTGGTA